CCTCATGCGTGCAAGGCAAGCGCTCTACCACTGAGCCACCTTCCCAGCCCTTAATTTCGTTTTTGTATCAGCCCTGGGCCTTGAACTCAGGGGCTAGATGCTGTCCCTGAGCTTTTTTTTTTTTCCTCAAAGCTAGTGAGAGCCACAACTCCACCTGCTGATTTTTGATGGTTAATTGGTCTTTCATGCTCAGCACCATTGGCTCCCACCTGTAATCCTAACTACTCAGGAGGCTGAGATCTGAGGCTCACGCGTGGTTCAAAGCTACCCCAGGCAGGAAACTCCATGAGACTTATCTCCAATATACTACTCAGAAAAGTTGCAAGTGGCACTGTGGATCATCAAGTGGTAGAGCGTTCATCTGAGCAAAAGAAACTCAGGGACAATGCCCAGGCCCAGAATTCTAGCCCCAGGACTGGCAGAAAAAGAAGTCTCTTAGGCTTTCCTGGCAGAGCTGGCTTTGAACTGTGATCCTCAGATCTCAGCCTCTGGAGTAGCTAGGATTATAGGTGTGAGCCACCAGTACCTGTCTACATACTGATACCAAAGCTTGAACTCAGAGCCTTCAGCTCTTGTTTAGCTTTTTCTATCACAACTGATACTCTACTAGTTGAGCCACACTTCCGGTCCAGTGTTTGCTGTTTAATTGGAAATGATGTCTCTTGGAATTTTCTGCCCAGTTTGCCTTCAAATGGATCCTTCAGTTCTCAGTCTCCTGAATAGCTAGGATTGCATACATAAGCCACTGGCATCAAGCCATTTTTGTGTGTATGTGCCAGTCTTGTGGCTTGAACTCAGGGCCTAGGTGCTGTCTTTTTCTTTTTTCTGAAGAATAGTGCTACAGCACCACTTCTGGCTTTTTTAGTACTTTATTAGAGATAGATCTCATGGACTTTCCTACCCAGCTGGCTTTAAACTGTGATCCTCAAATCTCAACCTCCAGAATAGCTAGGATTGCAGATGTGAGCCATGGGTGCCTGGCTATTTTAGTTTTTGAGACATGGTCTCATTTTATAGCCTTAGGCTGGCCTGGAACTTGCTCTGTAGCTTAGCCTGGCTGTAAGTCCCTTATCAGATATAAGATTTGCATACAATTTTTCTCATTCTGTATATTTTTCATCTTTTAATTATATATATATATATATATATATATATATATATATATATTTCAGTATGTTCCTATAGTTTGTGATTTTTTTTTGGCCTGTCCTGGGGCTTGAATTCAGGGCCTGGATACTGTCCCTGAACTTCTTTTGCTCAAGGCTGTCGCTCTACCACTTGAGCCACAGCTCTACTTCTGGCTTCTTCTGAGTAGTTTATTTATTTATTATCATTTTTTGTCAGTCATGGCGCTTGAACTCTGGCCCTGGGCGCTATCCTGAGCTCTTCAGCTCAAGGCGAGTGCTCTACCACTTGAGCCATAGTGCCACTTCCGGCCTTTTCTGTTTATGTGGTACTTAGGAATTGAACCCAGGGCTTCACACACACTAGGCAAGCACTCTACCACTAAGCCACATTCCAAGCCCCCTGAGTAGTTTGATTGGAAATAAGAATCTCATAGCCTTTCCTGCCTGGGCTGGCTTGAAACCATGGTCCTCAGATCTCAGCCTACTGAGTAGCTAGGATTACAGGCGTGAACTACTGGCACCCAACTTAGTTTGTTATGTTTAAAATAATTTTATTGTTACTATTAATATGGTGTACAGAGGAGCTACCGTTTCATAAGTCAGGTAATTTGTGTTTTTTATTGTAAATTATTCCTAAATTGACACAGAGAGGCCTTTTCGATGTCAGTAGCTTGATGGCTTTTCTCCTACCTATGCCTCCCAGTTGAGATTACAGATCAATACAAGCATTCCCAGATTGTTGGTTCAGATAGATTTCACTTGGTTTTTGCTCTGGCTAGCCTTAACTTCTGTCCTGCCAATTTCTACCTCCCAAGTAGCTGAGATCACAAGTATGGACCTGCACTTGTCTTTTAGTAAACATTATTTACATTTCTTTTAGATATATGCCTAGGAGTGGAAAAGCTGGTAGGCTATTCAATAGGCTATTGAATGTATTCAGCATTAATAGATAATACCGGTTTTCAAAGTTTATGTTATTTCATACTTCTAAGAAGCAATCTGCAAGTTTCAGTTACTCCACATACTTTCTAGCTCCTGCTTTTTTTTGTCAGTTGTGGGGCTTGAACTCTGGGTCTGGTCACTGTTCTTCAGCTCTTCTGCTCAAGGCTAGTGCTCTACACTTGAGCCACAGCACAACTTCTGGCTTTTTAGTGGTTTATTGGAGATAAGAGTCTCAGAGACTTTCCTGCCTGGGCTGGCTTTGAACAGTGATCCTCAGATCTCAGCCTCCTGAGAAGCTAGGACTACAGGCATGAGCCACTGGCATCAGGTTTGCTTTTTTTTTTTTGTCAGTTGTGGGGCTTGAACTCTGGGCCTGGGCACTGTCCCTGAGCTCTTCAGCTCAAGGCTAGCACTCTACCACTTAAGCCACAGCGCCACTTCTGATATTCTGGTGGTTTATTGGAGATAGAGTCTCAAGAACTCCTGAGAGTGTGAGCCACCAGCACCCATCTTTTTTTTTTTTTTTTTTTGGGTCCGGACGTGGGGCCTGAACTCTGGGCCTGGGCACTGTCCCTCAGCTCTGAGCCATCTTCCCAGCCCATCTTTTTTTTTTTTAAAGCCATTTCTGACGTGTATGAAGGATTAGCTTGTTTAATTTGGATTTTCTTTTGAGGACAGTTGAGGGTCTTCATTTGCTTATTTACTTTCAAGGTCATGTTTGTAAAGTGTATCCTTGTTCTCTCTGTTCTTTTTACTTCATTTATTAATTAGCATATATAAGTTGTACAGTGTGGAATTTCATTATATTTCCATACATGTTTTGTTGCTCTCACTGATTTCTAGAAACTCATCATATTAATCATTTTTTTAGATACCCATAGTACAGTTACTTTTAACACTATTAGGATTTTCCTTCTTAATTTTATCTGCTGATGAATAGAAACATTTCATTTTGATGATATAAGGGCTTGAACTCTCAGTTCAAGTGGTTATTTGCTAGGCACACATTTTGCCATTGCCCCAACTCCAGAAGTCCTTAATTTTAATGTAATGTAGTCTAATCTTAAGAACGTTTTTAATTGTTTTATTTTTATACTTGCAATTAATCTATTTTGACAGTGTTCACCTTCATCCTCATTATCCCAGCTCCCTCTCACTAGTTCCCCCCTACAGAGGCTATTTCTTTTTCTTTGACCCCCGTATTCCCCTAGTGATCAATAGCTTTCATTGAATTTTGCTATTTTCATATATACTTGAAATGTATTAAAATTATTCACCTTCTATTTTTTACCTTTTTCCCTTCTAAGTACTCCACTAGTTTGATTCATGTTCTTGATTTATACATATAAATTACATATATGGATATATACATAGTACATGTCCATGAATATATGTATTTTGTTGGGCCAGATCTGGGGCTTGAATTCAGGGCCCAGGTACTGTACCTGAGCTTTTTTGTGCTCAAGGTTAGCACTCTACCACTAGAGCCACAGTTCCTCTTCTGGCTTCTTGGTGGTTAAGTGGAGATAAGAGTCTTATAGACTTTCCTGCCTGGGCTTGCTTTGAACCATGATCCTCAGATCTCAGCCTTTTGGGTTGCAGGATTACAGGCATGAGTCATCAGCTCCTAGCTTATATGTCTTTTGGATCAAGTTTCCACATATGTTTTGGTATATGTATCCATGCATACCTATAATGAAATTATTATTGAATATCAGCAGTTTAACATAATTCACCTCTATGGTACTTTTGTGTTAACTTCCATGGTTGTACTTAATTTACTTATTAAAGTTTGAATATATAATACATATTTTTCCGCCCATGGGGCTTGAACTCTGGGCCTAGGTGCTGTCCCTCAGCCCTTCAGTTCAAGGCTAGTGCTCTGCCACTTAAGCCACAGCGCCACTTCTGTTTTTTCTGGTGGTTTATTGGAGATAGGAGTCTCATGGACTTTCTTGCCCTGGCTGGCTTTGACCATGATCCTCAGATCTCAGCCTCCTAAGTAGCTAGGATTACAGGTGTGAGCCACGGACACCCAGCTATAATACAATTATTAACCATAGTGTTCCTGCACATTAGTTCTTTAGACTTATCTCAGTAGCAAAATCTTTAAATGACCTGATTTAAAAATGAACAAAGGGGTTTGATTACAGAAACTAATAAAGTATTCTCTAAATTAAAAAAAAATGAACAAAGTACCTAAATAGATCTTTTTCCTAAGAACATATGAAAAGGGTCAGTAGGAGGTATATGTGAAGTTGCTCGGCATCAGTATTCATTTGAGAAATGTGTATCAAAACTTAAGTGATAGATCATATTATAAAGATGGCTATTATAAAAAGACAATAGTGCACATAAGGGTGTGGAGAAAAAGGAATTCTTGTATCTGTGGATGGGAATATAATTTGCTATAGCCATTATGTAGTGTGGTGATAACAAATTAAATGGAACTACTTATATGATCCACCAATTCCTCTTCTGGGTATATTTGCAAAGGAAATGGATCAGTAACTTGAAGAGATCAACAGATAAGTCAACAGGCGGATAAATAATGGGATGTGTGTATGTATGTATACATGTTAGTTAAATGGTGTATTATTCAGCCTGAAAAAAGTTATTTGCAATAGCTTAAGTTAACATTATGCTCCTCCAGAACATTGTGCTAAATGAAATATCCTAGAGTATTTAAATTTAACTTAGTAATTATTTTATTTACTCTAAATGCCCAATTATCTTTCTTTACTCCAATACAGTTATAGACAATTGCAAGAGTCATTTTTCAGACTGCTTCCTGAGAGTGTCAAGGACCAGAGCAGAGCAGGAGGCAGGATGCAAGAGCCTAATGACTTTGTGAACTTCCCAAAGTCCCTGGGTCCCTATGCCAAGATCTACAAAAGGGATCAGCATCGTGAGCTGGAAAATTATTTCAAGATGGACGGGTACCCTGACTATAAGGCTCGGGTAACCCTGGCTTCCAGGCTCAATCTGAAGGAGCACGATGTGCGGGTGTGGTTCCGAGTGCGCAGGGCCACAAATGCTAAGTCAGAGAACCAGCGACAAAAGCAGGGGAGAAAGTTGGGGTGGTTCACCCATACTAGTGTTGGATTGAATGCCTCCACACCCAACAACTCAAATAGTGATGGCTTGGGAATGGGCAATCTCCTCCAACCCAACCCTTGTTGGGCCTTGCCCAAAGGGGAGCCCAGCTTCTCCTTCTGTGACCAGAAGTATAATAACCAAAAGCGCCTCTCAGATGTTTCATTCAAACCCTTGTCTTATCAACCCAATGTCTTATCAGACACAGCATCATCCCTGAGTTCCACTGAGCTCCTCTCAACCATGCAGGCCTTCCAGAGACTGAAAGTCTCTGTATCAACATCTGAGTCTCAAAGGGGAGATGGGCATTGTGGACGTGGGTGAATTGGGCCCAAAACCTTTCTGAATTTTTGCCACATCTGTCTGCAGGTCCCTTGAGCTCAGATCCCAGTGGATACTCTCCCTCAGGAATATACTATGCCCTGCCCCCTTTTTGCTATTTTCAGTGCTAGGAGTGTCCTAATGTCCTCAGGTTGCACAAGAACATTTCTTAGGTTTTTTTTTTTCTTTTGCCTTGTTAAGGATGGAACCCAGGAAGCCCTTTCACTTGGCAAGCAAGTAGTCTACCAGTGAGCTTCACCCTCAGCACATTTGGGAACATTTCTGTGGGTTTCTAGTATAGGAATGGGCTGCACTAGTGTGCTTTTTCTTCAGTGAGTACTGTTCATGAGAAATTCTTTCCATTCTCAGCAATACTGTGAATTGTTTGAAGTTTGTGGTCTGTTCTGTGCCTTTTGTGGTTTTAATATTTCTTTGATAGGCAGGTTGGACATTCTTACATGTTATTTGGCTATTAGAAGTCCTCATGTTTTTTTTTTAAAAATCAAATTTCCACACTTATATAAAATTCTATTCTGACAAATGTGCCTCTTGTTTTTCTTATTTCTATTTATTAGTAGCATCTTGTGATGGTGTGTGTGTACGTGTGTGCTTGCATGCCTGGCCTGGGGCTTGAACTAAGGGCCTGTGTGGTGTCCCAGGGCTCTCTTGCTGAAGGCCACAGCTCTACTTTTTTTTTTGTTTTTGCTTTTTGTTTCTTCGCTGATTAAGTGGAGATAAAGAGTTTCATGAACTTTCCTGCCTGGGCTGGCTCAAACCATGTTTCTGCCTGGAAGTGTTTTTAAGTCCTTCTCAAATTGCTTGTTAGGGACCTGTTTTTCATTCTATCAACTGAAGACTGATGTAACGTACAATAAAGTTATTGCTAAAAGTTGGTGGGGAAAACTGCTTTTCTTCTATTCACTTTATATTCTGAGATACAAACATTAGAACGTTGAATTATAAATACTTTAAAAATTGTTTCTTTTGTTCTGACAGAAGAATGAAATCAAGCCAATAAGCATTTGAAATTAGTTCCAGTTCTTTTGTAGATATTTTCTCCTAATATGGCTCCTGTTATTGCAAATAAAAGTCTGGTTCCACTATAATCTCTTGTTTTAAATAACATTATTTCTGCTTGGAAGTGTTTTTACATTATCTTGTAGTCCTTTAAATTCAGGGCCAAATCAAAGTTAAAATTGTTTGGGTTCCTCTGAGAGTCAAGGATTTGGGGAATTTCAGTGGGAAGATGAGTGAGTTAGGTCTAATAGTATTAGATAACCCAGGGCCTGTATCTGTCATTCTTATGACAATTGTTGGTGAATTAGTTTTGGTGAGTCCTTGAAATATTTGGAGACGTATAGGGAAGTGACTGAAGTCTGAAGAAATTCTTGGTTTTATAAAAGTTGGAAATGTAACAATAAAACCTGTTGATGAACAGGGAATTGGGGGCTCAGAGGAAGAGAAAGCAAGAAAATGTTATTTTGTGTAGCACATAATACATTTGAAGTACCATAGTAAAGCCCTTTGGTACAACTAATATACACAAAATATGAATGATAAAAGGTAAAGCAGACTCAGAAGGGGGGGAGCAAGGGAAGGCTAAAAGGATGAGACTGAATAATGGTCCCCATAGTTTATTTGAATTTATATAAATGGAACAATGAAACCAGTTGGGGTTGTGTTTTTGTTCTCTTTTCACCAGTCCTAGGGCTTGAACTCAGGGCCTGGACAATGTCCTTGAACAACTTTTGCTCAAGGCTAGCACTCTACCACTTTGCCACAGTGCCACTTTCAGCTTTTTCTGTTTATGCTGTACTGAGGAATCAAAACCAGGGCTTCATGCATGTTAGGCAAGCACTCTACCACTAAGCCACATTCCCAGCCCATGATGGAGTTGTTTTAAGGGAAAATAGGATGAAGGAGAATGGTGGATGAGGTTAATTGGGATACATTATTTACATATGTAGGAATGTCAACAAATCTCCTTTGTACAACTAACATATGCTAATACAAAAAGAGTTGGAGGCCGGGCACCGGTGGCTCACCGTGACTCACGCATGTAATCCTAGCTACTCAGGAGGATCTGAGGATCTCGGTTCAAAGCCAGCCTGGGCAGGAAAGACTGTGAGACTCCTATCTCCAATAAACCACTAGAAAACTGGAAGTGGCACTGTAGCTCCAGTGGTAGAGTGCTCGCCTTGAGCTGAAGAGTGCAGGGAGAGCGCTCAAGTCCAGAGATCAAGCTCTCCACAACCGAAAAAAAAAAAAAAAAAAAGCTCACCTTGAGCTGAAGAGTACAGGGACAAGTCCAGAGATCAAGCTCTCCACAACCGACAAAAAAAAAAAAAAAAAGCTCACCTTGAGCTGAAGAGTACAGGGACAAGTCCAGAGATCAAGCCCCAGGACCGACTAAAAAAAAAAAAAAGATTTATTGATTAGGGTGCTAAGAAACTTGGGATCACTGAGAATTATAAGTCTTTGGAAGCTATAGGTGACTTATTGAAGCCATAGGTTGGAATGGTGAACATTACTGCAATATATTTGGTATGTGGTGGAGTGGAATGTTTGTGACTGGTCGGGGGATCTGTATATGGACTGTTAGTTATGGAGCCTTGTAAAAAACTCAGTATTTGACTCCTAGAGCAGATTAATGGTAATATTTTGTTGAGGGTTCATTGTTTACGTTGGTGATTATTTGAAGAACCTATAGAAATAAGCACCATTTTTGACAATTTTGTTAAACAGTCTGACTAATGATATAGAAGCTTGTGTTGACATGCTGCTCACTTTCAGGACCCAAATAGAAATGGCAAAAGATTAAGCTTAAGTTTTCCTCTTTGACAAAAGAAGAGTGAGCTGTATGAGTTGCTTAGAATGCACACTGAATTATGTAACTGTACATTGACATTGTCATCCCTCAGCCAGAGCACTTTGTAGGCAGCAGGGAACAAAAATGTTTATTTTAACTATCAAGTATACAGTACCATGTGATTGAGAAAAAGCACAGGCATACCTGGGTTTGAGTCCCTTCTTCCCTCAATCTGAGATCTTTGAGTGGTTTTTATGAATAGTTCTATTTGGTGGATGGGATGATTGGAAATTGAGGTATCTGGTAAAATACACTTTGCATTTTGTAATAATAGCAACATTTAATACCAGTCATGTTCCAGGAGCTAGATAGGTCTAAGTGCTTCATGTACATCATTTCATTTAACTCTTAAGAGATTAGGTATTTTCATCTTGCTAGAAGGTGAAGAAACACCGCCTAGAATGACTTGCTCAGATCTCAGCTACATCCAGAAATCAGCCCCTATTCATTTTACACCAAATGGTGTGTTGCTTTCACTGCATCCATGCTAATACTTGGTGTTAGTTTTACTGGCCTTTTCCATAGCATCCAGCAAATAAGCTTCACTTTGGTGTTCCCAGAACGTGTTTGAAGGTGACCAGGAAGTGGCAAACCATATGTACACTGTCTTTCCAGCTTTCTGAGCTTCTTGGTAAGAGTTGGGGGCAGGTGGAGTTGGAGCACACACAGCTCAACTGCACCAGCCTCCCTGGTTGAGTCTTCAGATGCCAGCCCACCTTTAAGCTTCTAAGAAGGGACTGAAACATAAGAAGAAAAGCACATGACTGGGGCTGAGGCCCAGTGTATACCTGCCAGAAAATGGGAGCTCTTCCCAGTCGTCCCTGTACATATCTGCAGAGGGACATGGAGGTTCATGTGGGGAAGGAAAAAGCTCCAGGGACAGACATTCATTTGGTGAAGAGACATTCTAACCTGCCCCCAGGGCCTCAAGGCAGATGAGTGATTGGAAGCTGTAGATTTGGGCCTTGTTGCTCCAGAGATATATTGTAATCTCCTCCTTATGAGTTAACGCCACATGACTGAACTCAGAACACCCAGAGTCCTGTAGGTCTGGGTGGATAAGGCAAGGTCACTGATGGAGGAGAGGGAGATATGAAGAGGGCCCAGCCTTGTGGCTTAAGGAAGCTGAGCATAGCTACGGGCCATGGAGATACAACCCCTGACCCCAGCACAGCCCTGTCCTCTCCGTGGGTTCTTCACAGATGTTTATCTGATGACTACCTAAGTCCCTTTTCTTCCTCTTCTCTGGTGAGTTGCTGATTTCTCCCCTATCCTACTTAAGGTGCAGAAATCCTTTTGCTTAAAACATAGAGACTGGCAGAGTGGAAGAGTGACTAAAGATCAGGAGGGCTAGACTCTCCTTCCTCCATTCAAACATGAACAGAATAGCTTGAGTGGGTATGTGACTAGCCTAGGTTATCAGGTTGGCAGCAATGGTGCGGGCCTGAAGACTGATCCCTTGACTGGGTACTGCTGTCTCACAACAAAACAGCAGAGCACCAAGTTTTCCTACCACAAGAGAGCCAGACCCTGCTCACAGCTCCTTCCTTTCAAACCATCCACTGGATGCTGTCACTTGGGAGAAGGTCATGCTGCCACAGGAGCTTAGAGTCCTGTGGTCATTAGGTAAATATTAAATTTTAAAATAGTTATTTTGGGGGCTGGGAAGGTGGCTCAGTGGTAGAGCGCTTGCCTTGCATGCATGAGGCCCTGGGTTCGACTCCTTAGCACCACATAAAAAAAAAGAAAAAAGCCGGAAGTGGCGCTGTAGCTCAAGTGGTAGAGCGCTAGCCTTGAGCTGAAGAGCTGAGGGACAGCACCCAGGCCCAGAGTTCAGGCCCCACGACTGAAACCCCCCCCCCCGAAAAAAAGTAATAAAATAATTATTTTGATTTTTGTCATTAAATGTTTTCATAAAGTCTTAGGAAACACAGGTTAGCAAATAGAGAATAGAAAATTACTTGTAACTCCAGCAATACCTAAAGCTAATCATTAACATTGAGTATATTTCCTTTTAGTCCTTTTTTTCTTTGTGTGTGTGTGTGTGTACTTGTGGGGCTGTGGGTATGCATATGTACCATATACACATAAAGCTAAGGTTAAAAAATTGAATCATATTATTTGGTTGCCTTTTTGTGTGGTGCTGTCAATTAAACTTGGGCCCTTACACATATTAAGCAAACACTGCACCACTGAGCTGCTCCCTCAGTAGGTTAGTGTTACTGAGTTAAACTCAAGGCCACAAGTTCTACTCACCACTTGAACCATGTTTTCAGCCCTAGTTCTCTCTTTTTCTTTTGTGCCAGTCCTGGGGTGTTAACTCAGGGCTTGGACACTGTCCCTGAGCTTACAAGAGCAAAAGCTCAAGTTTAGTACTCTACCACTTGAGCCACAGCTCCATTTCTGGGTTTTGGTGGTGAATTGGAGATAAGAGTCTCACAGGCTTTCCTGCTTGGGCTGGCTTTGAACCTCAATCCTCAGATCTTAGCCTCCTTAGTAGCTAAGATTATGGGTATGAGCCACCCTCACCTGGCTTTGTTATCTCCTTTTCAACTCAGTAGTTTAGCATAATGTTCTAGATAAGTCAATATTTTTCTTCATACATTTATCATGTCAGCTAGTCTTCTATTTGTGAAA